GAATGCGCCGCACAAACGCACCACTCCGTCAATTCGCCCATGAAGCCTCGCCTCAACCAGAAAGACACTCAGCGACAGCACACCATGAGGACCTCGAGTCCCAATCCGAGAGTGATGAAGAAGAGGTCAACAGACTTCGGGCCGAACGAGATCAACAAACGCTAAAACTTCAGTGCCCATGTGCGGGTTGCGGGGGAAACCACCCGCGATCCGGTTGCAAATTCCTCGACGCAATCTGCCGTTCCTGTGGGAAAAGAGGCCACATCGCTCGGGTCTGCAGAAATAAGAGGGAATTCAACACAAATAGAAGGGAGAACAACCTCCGCCAGACCACAGGAAACCTTCCTGCAAATCGGGATCGTTTGAATAACCAATGGAACAACCATGCCTACAACAGTAAAACATCTACTCTTCCAGCATGGCGAGAAGAGACTCACCAGACTATTATTATCGGCCACGCTTCGTCTTTAGACAAACAAAAGATCCGAGTGGAAGTGGCCATCGAGAACAAACCTTGCCTGATGGAAGTCGACTCCGGATCATTTCTCTCGATGGTTTCCTGGAAGACCCTTAAACAGCTGATCCCTACCGTCCGTCGGCAAGACCTCAGGACACAGAAAATCATCCTCAGAGATTACCAGGGGAACTCGATCCCAGTCGTCGGAGTGAGTCAAGTCCGTGTTTCCTTTAAAGATCCTGCCGTGTCTCTCCCATTAACTGTCGTCGATGGGGACTGACCCAGCTTACTAAGCCTACAATGGTTCGCCCCACTCGGGATCGAGGTGGCCGGCATTCACCAGGCCGGAAGTGACGATTGGGAAGAGAACATCGTCCAGGAGTTCCACGACGTGTTTTCAGAAAACTTAGGCAAGTACAAGGGGACCCCTATAGCATTCAGCCTCAATCCCGAGGTAGCCCCTATCCGCCTTAAGCTTCGTCGGGTTCCGTTTGCCCTTAAACCCAAGATTGACGAACAACTTGATAAGTTAATAGCCCAAGGGGTATTGGAGCCTATTGACCACGCCCGTTGGGAAACCCCAATCATAACCCCCATCAAACCGGATGGGTCGATCAGAATTTGTGGAGACTACCGCGCCACTCTGAACCACGCACTTCAACAGAGCGCTTATCCGGTGCCGGTAGTTCAACATCTTCTCCACTCCCTGGGCGGCGGGAAGATTTTCGCAAAGTTAGACTTAGCGCAAGCATATCAACAACTACCCGTTGATGCAGAGACCGCAGAGGCACAGACTATCGTTACCCACCGCGGTGCCTTTAAATGCAACAGGCTCCAGTTCGGGGTGAGTGTAGCTCCTGGGATATTTCAGAGTCTAATGGAGAGACTTTTGCAAGGCATCAAAGGGGTTGTACCGTATTTTGATGACGTTTTAATTGCTGCTCCTAATAAAGAAGAGCTCGAACGGCATCTCAAACTAGTTCTACAGAGATTCAAAGACGCCGGCCTCAAGGTGAAAAAAAATAAGTGTCAACTGTGTACTGAGCGGGTGGAGTTTCTTAGGTATCTCTTCGATAAACAAGGGATTCACCCGACCGAAAACAAACTCAGGGCAATCAAGAATGCCCCAAGACCTAGAAATAAGACTGATCTCCAGGCTTTCCTTGGACTTATTAACTTTTACAACATCTTCTTGTCCCAGAAGGCGACCGTAGCTGAGCCTCTACATAGACTTCTCAACAAGAAAGCCACCTGGGTCTGGGGACATCGAGAAGAACGCTCTTTTCAAAAAGTGAAAGATTTATTAACATCCAATACTGTTCTAATGCAGTACAATGAGACCTTGCCACTTACGTGTGACGCATCACCATTTGGGGTTGGAGCCATCTTGAGTCACGTGTTACCAAACGGGCATGAAGCTCCCATTTCGTACTTTTCGCTGACATTAGCGAAGGCTGAACGAAACTATAGCCAACTGGACAAAGAGGCTCTTGCTATTGTATCGGCCGTTAAGCGATTCCATGAATATGTTTACGGGCGGCCTTTTACTCTAGTTACAGACCACAAGCCCTTACTTGGCATTTTAGCAGGTGATAAACCAACCCCATACATATTATCGCCTAGAATGACTCGTTGGTCAGAATTCCTAGCAGCCTACAGCTACGTACTACAGCATCGCCCGGGGAAAGCCATTCCCCACGCTGACGCTTTGAGCCGTTCCCCACTTCCGGAAACCATCAGCGACCCAGCTCCAACCCTCACCACGTTGCAAATTGAAACCCTCAACTCGCCGCCACTAAAGGCAAGAGATATCGCTGCCGGCACAAAACGAGACTCTATCCTCGCAAAGGTTCTTAGTTGGGTCGAACGCGGGTGGCCAGTCGAAGAAACACCCGCCATTTTCACGCCGTTCAAGCACCGGCAAATGGAACTATTCTCCCAAAAGGGCTGCATCCTATGGGGAGATAGAGTCGTCGTGCCAGAGAAACTACAGCGACTCGTGCTGCAAACACTACACGAAGGACACCCGGGCATCGTCCGTGTGAAGGCCCTCGCTCAAAGCTTCGCGTGGTGGCCAGGCATCGATAAACAAATTGAAGCCTGGGTTACCACGTGTAGAAACTGTCAAGAAGTTAGCAACGCCCCACTGAGAGCAATTCCCACCGAATGGGAAACTCCTCGAGGCCCGTGGTCCCGCATCCACATTGATTTTGCGGGACCCACGAAAGGACACACTTTTCTCCTAACCGTGGATGTCTGTGACAGACCTATGGCCTCACTTCCAACTCAGTTTTTAAGCAAGTTACTACAATCACTAAGCGAAGTATCAAATTTTAACTTAAGATACCAAAAATTGAGATATTGGTAAATATTCTAGCAAAAAGTAGTTCAATGCTGAGAAGAAAAGTATAATTCCAGTTCAGAATGGTTAAGAAATACCAAACATCCATTACATTACATTCATATATATGAAAATATTAAAAATCTGAGAATGTAATTTGGTGGTGGAATCTGAAAGAATCAAGAGATGAATCAGATTGTCTCCCTATACTTTGGTAACCCAAATGGTACCCAAAATTTCTGTTGTTAAGTGAGACATTTGTTTGCACATGATCCCAGAATAGGCAACATGATCCCAGAACATGATCCCAGAACAGTCACATGATCCCAGAACAGGCAACTGTCATAAATATGAGTCAGTTGCTAAGCATCTGAATTTTGATCACATGACCATGGGGATTCTGCAAAAGTCATAACTGTGAAAAATGGTCATAAATCACTTTTTTCAGTGTCTTTGTAACTTTGAACAGTCTCTAAATGAACTGTTATAAATCAAGAACTATTTATATTCAGCTGTTGACAATAATTGTGCTTTTGTTGGAGTTTATTAACATTTATTCATAAGTACTAAATGTTAACAATGATTGTGACAGTATTAAAAAGTAACCTTTTCAATCTGATATTTTTGTTCTTCAACAATTTATCAAATATAGCATATTTAGAATTGCCATCTTACATCATCATCATCCTAGTGTTTTTCCTGCAGGTGCAGGGTCTACTTTTTGAATCAACAAGCCATCTTGTGCAATTAAACGGGTGCAACTGGACATGTTTCATGTATACACTTATTGTATCTTGCCATCCATATAGTCTGACAGACGAACACAATACAGAAGCCTGATGATGGCAGATGAGATTCTTCCGAAACGTTGGTACAGCTTTAAAAGCACAACTATAATGACTTGCTCTGTCTTACATATTGGCAAAAAAAATCAGAAGATAAAATACAAGCTGAATAGTCAAGATCTTGTTGATGATCCAAGCTCTGTAAAGGACCTTGGAATATTCATCTCTAATGATCTAAGTGCTAGAGCCCACTGTAACTACATAGCCAAAAAGGCATTAAGAGTTGTTAAACTAATCCTACGTAGCTTTTTCTCTGGTATATTGACAATGGCGATTAGAGAACAAGAAGAAAAAGACTATTATAAAATTTGGAATCTATTTTATGAATGGTTGGATAGAAGAGTAAAGAATTGAATTATATACGTATTGTATAATATATTGTTACTGATAAATAGATGTTAGATAGAGTAAGAAAATGAACTTGAAATATATTATTGAAAGTTAAGGATTTTAAAGCTAAGGATAATAGAATAAGTGACATATGCGATATAAAATATTGATAAGAATGATTATAAATATATACAAGTTAAATATGTATGATATTATTTTGTGCACAAATAAATATGTACTCAACTGACATAATGTGGAACAGAAAGAAGGTTTTATGTTTGTTTTTGTTTTTGTGATGAAAATTAAAAACTTTATTTTTTTTAAAAAAGGAAGTAAAAGAATTGAAATGGAAATGGGCTGTCACGTAGCAAGAAAAATTGATAGCAGCTGGACCAAGGCAGTCATAGAATGGCTGATAAAAAGCATCCAGAAAAGAGACCTAAAACAAAATGGATCGACAATATCGGCAAGTATTATGGGCCCAACTGACAAAAGAAAGTTCAGGACCGTATCGGTTGGACAAAAAATGGCTAAAATTATGATCATCTGAAGAAATGTATAACAGGTTAGCTTATACTGCCACCCCATTTCCAGCTATCAACATTTGTTCAGATACCAAACACCAATGGTGACCCTATGCATTTTGAGAATTTCTGCTGAATAATGGAGATCAAAGTTGACATTTTTAGAGCTGACAGAGTACTGTTACTCTATGATGATCATTATCTCATCTGAATCTACATAAATCATGCACATAGATATATACAAATGATATATGGGAATTTCTAAGAGAGTTGCAGGAAGCTAAGCTAAACTTATGAACAATTATTTTTGCATACCTCCTCCTTTTTAATTGTTTCCCATATTGTTTATGGCCTGGATAAGCAAAGTAGCTGATTGCCTTCATTTTTGCATAAAAACCCACTAGGTGCCCCTCCAGGTTATTCTTGTTCAATTTGCTCATTGGAAAGCTCAAACTTTTCTGAGAGGGAGGAGAAGTAGCTGACATCACATCCTCTTTCACTAATGGGAACCTATTTCATACATCAAATTAATCATAATTTTCATTTGCCTTTTTAAAAGAAAGATTTCCAAAAGGAAAAAAAAATGGCCAGAATTTTCTGTCTCCTATGGTTCCTTGGTCTGATTTTATGTGAGTATGATGCTACTACTTTGGGTGGATGGTGGGGGTAAATCCTTAAACAAGCAAAAAAAATTTAAAAACTTTAAAAAACATTTTGAATATAATATAAGGCTCCAGTGGGTTTCTAAAGATATGTAAATTTGTTTTATTTGAAAGTCAGAATCCAAGGCTATATAACAAAATTATGCCAGAATATCTCATACTATTGTAGCTGTGACTTAAAAGTGAAGAGGAAATCCATAGAAAAGTCAAAGGTGGGATCTAAATCTAACTTGCTGTTACTGCTGATATTGTTATTACATCCACAAGTCTAATTTTAAAAAAAATACTAGGTGGGTTGGTTGGATAAAGGGGGCTACAACTGCGGGGCGGAAAGATAGATAATTGAAGAAGAAAACAGAATAAATATCTGAGAAAAAAATAGTTTACAAATGCACATATCTTTATACCTATCACACTGTTTCTTTTCAAAGTAAGGAATTTTGAGAAATAGAAAAAATACATTTTAAAAAATTAAAAGCATGAGATAACACAAAGGAAAGAAAGCACATCTATAGTTTTCACAAAATTACTTACTATTCCTTGCCATACCTATCTGTTCCTGGAAGACCACTTTTGCTTTTATGATGTCCACATACTATTTCATACATCTTTAAAATTCTCATATATTTCTTTTCCAGGTGTTCATGAGTTTCATTCAATTGTATCTTTCGTGGTCTTTCCCTTTCGCGGTCTCTAACATATTTGTTCACTGTTCCTTCTTTTTTCTTCCTTTCTTCCAATATTATTTTGCAATTCAGTCCTCATTCATTTTTTCACTTACTTGAACAAACATTATTTTTTTTCCAACAGACCATGTACTACCATTACTATCATTACTTTTTTACCAATAAAATGTCTGCAACATTCAGCAAATTAATGTTTTTAAGATCAACAAATTAATTTACTTGCTAACATTTTGCCATTTGTATATATACAATTCATGATCCAATACAAATATTTTTATATTTGATACATTAATTTTCTGATTGATACATTTCATTACCTCATACAGGCTAATCCTTGCTATAATTCTATGCATACAAAAGTACGTATCCATAATCAGCATACCTCTAATGTCACCACATTTTTCCTTAAATGCATTAAACTACTTTAATTATTGAAAATGTAACTGTTATATTACTGATATTAAATATATCGGAAGCATGTAAGAAAATATAGCCAACACAAGAATTTCAGCACTAATATATGGAAATCTGGAATTTTGCTTAAAGAAAGTTTTATCTCTGGATAAAAAAATATTCAGTCCTGATTCTGAGATAATTTTAGTTTTCTTCATTCAATTCAATTTTTCAATTCAATTCAGAATAGAGCTGGAAGGGACTTTGGGTGTTTTGTAGTCCACCCCCCCCCCACCCCCCGCTCAAGCAGGCGACCCTCTACCGTTTTAGACAAGTGGCTATCCAGTTTCTTCTTAAGAACCTCTAGTGATGAAGGACCCACAACTTCTGAAAGCAAGCTGTTCCATCGGTTAATTGTTTTGTTAGGAAATTTCACTTTAATTCCACGTTGCTTCTATCCTTGATTAGTTTCTATCCATTGCTTCTTGTCTTGCCTTCTGATGCTTTGGAAAATAAGTTGACCCCCTCTTCTTTGTGGCAGGCTCTCAAGTACTGGAATACTGCTATCAGCACCCACCCCCCAGTACTTCTTTTCTCTAAAGTAGCCATACCCAATTTCTGAAACCGTTTTTCATGTTTTAGCCTCCAGCTCCCTAATCATCTTAGTTGCTCTTCACAAAAAGAGAATTTTATTTGAAGATTCAAAAATCTTCAAATAAAATTAACATTCTGACACAGAATTCTCACGGGGGAAAATCCATCTGTATGATCACTAGGAGTCAAAAATGACGGCACATAATCAAGTGCAGCAATCAGCATAGGAAGGTTGGAGAATTTCATCATGAGAAAGGCAGGGCTAGATGAATCAAAAGTTGGAATTAAGATTGCCAAGAGAAATATCAACAACCCCAGATATCCAGATCCTGAAGATGAAACTCAAATACTTTGGCCACCTAATGAGAAGGAAGGACTCACTGGAGAAGAGCCTAATGCTGGGACTGATTGAGGGCAAAAGAAGGGGACAGCAGAGAATGAGGTGGTTGGATGGAGTCACTGAAGCAGTAGGCATGAGCTTAAATGGACTCCAGAAGATGGTAGAGGACAGGAAGGCCAGAAGGAACGTTGTCCATGAGGTCACGATGAGTTGGACACGACTTCACAGCTAACAACAACAAAAACTTACTGTAACTCCTCCAAATGAAAATGATGTGTCTATCTATTTTAATAGAAAGGGGGGAAAGTATTAGAATATTCATAATAATTTAGGTGCTGTAGTACTATCATATTTAATTGAATTGTTTAAAGGCTGTACTGTACTGAAAAATAGACTGAAATAAAGTTAAGTGATTGGAATGAGGACAGACAAAAGAGAGATTCTCCACTCATCATTAAACTATGGCATTTCCAGCTGTAAATCATGGTATTATGGTAGCCAGAAAAATGAGATAGAAAATTGAGGGAAATAATTAGGCAACTATTGTGGATGGCAACATATATTTCAAAACTAAAAATGGCATGTTTCCAAATATCTGCTTCTCAGCAAAATGAGAAAGAAAATGTCTCGTTGTGCCCCATTTGTAGACTGTGCAGGATTTGTGGATTCTGCTTGGCTTCTCTGGAAATACAACTGATGAAAGGGAGGCCTTTGATCTCATCCAGAAACAGCCTTCTTGACTTATCACAACAAATAAAATAAAAAAAACCTATGGCTTGATTGCTTAATTGATTGTTCTAGGAAATCAAGTGTGACTTCTAATGACTATGTCACTTTCTCATGATTTCTTGTTCTTCATTTTTTCCATTGAGATTTTTAAAAAAAATCATTAAAATTTAGATGTTTTTTGCTGCACCTTTTCCCACCCATATGCATTTTTATTTATAATTTTTCCAATGAGCACGTTCTCTTATTTTTCTTAAATAAATGTTTTTATTCATTTAAATGTGTGGGAATTGTTTCCAGGAACTATGTATTGATGCAGGTGGGCTCCCACCCGCTCTCTCGCTCTCTCTCTCTCTCTCTCTCTCACACACACACACACACACACACACATTCTTTCACTGTCTCTCTCACACAGAAACTTTCAACTGGCAAAAGTACATTGAACATTTCAGTACTATCAAAGGAACTTGGTTGGTTTCAGTTCTTACATTTTCATTCAGGAATGAATTAAATCAATTTCTCCCCATCTCTAGTGGCCATGAGTATCTAAATTCTCACATACTCCTCTGCAATGTGGAAAACAATAGCTCATGCCCTCATCCTGCAGTGGAAAGGTGTGGTAACAGATAATTACCTTCACTGTAGGTGCTGTTGTGGCTGCTTCCCATGGCCCTCCTTTATAAGGTTATACATCAACCTTATAGAGAGAGGGTAAACCATAGCTCCATAAAGCATTGTTGAACTTTTGTTGAGGCTAAGGTTTTGAGAGACATGTTTGTAGGGCCAGTTTGGTGCAGTGACTAAGGTACCAGGCTAGAAATCAGGGAACTGGGAATTCCAGCTCCACAAAGTCAGTTGGTCACCTTGGGCTAGTCCTTCTCTCTCAAATCTAGGAAGAAGACAATGGCAAACCACTTGTGGAAAATCTTGCCAAGAAAATTGCAGGGACTTGTCCAGGCAGTTGCAAGGTGTCAACAATGATGGAAAGATATGCACACAGAGAATGCCTTTGGCTTTTGTAAATAATGCATTCTCTTAATCATTCAAACAACAAGGAAGGAAGACATTTTTCATATTTTGAATTCTGTTTTAAGTGATAAAATACTTTGCAGTACATTAATGAACTGTAGCTGTCAAGATGGGATCTTAAGCTTGCTTATTTATTTAAACAATATCCCATATCTTCATTCTCCCCAGAATTCTATACAAGTTGCACTAATCTGCAATAAAAACAATATGAGCATTGAACCCACAGTAAAGTATTTCAATGTTGTTAAATGATTGAAGAATTAAATACAGGGAGTCTTCAAGTTGAGCCCAGAATTTATGTTGCTAAGTGAGAAATTTGTCAAGTGAGTTTTGCCCCATTTTACAACTTTCCTTGCTACATTTGTTAAGTGAATCACTGCAGTTATTAAATTAGTAACACATTTGTTAAGTGAATCTGACTTCCCCATTAACTTAGCTTGTCAGAAGGTTGCAAAAGGAGATCACATGAAACCTGGACACAACAGCCATCATAAATATTAACCAGTTGTCAAGCAATCCTACGACCATGGGGATGCTGTAATGGTTGTGTGAAAAATGGTCATAAGTCCTTTTTTCAGTTCTGTTGAAACTTCGAACAATCACTAAATGAACTGTTGTAAGTCGAGGACTACCTGTATTTATTTGTTCTTTGTTTAAGAAAATGTATGTGGCCACCCAACTTACTCTCAGTGATACGGAGCACTTTACAGGGATAAAAACCCAATATCAAAACAATAAAAAAGCAACAAATCCCTTGGTGACAACAATAAATCTTAAATAATACATTATTTTTCCAACTTGAACCAGGTCCACCCCAGTGTGCAAGACTTCCCATTGGGTCTTTCTTACCTTTTAGATTTGATTAATCCATTTTCAACAGACATAAAGTAATGTAAAATAAAAATGAACAAAACAAACAGACAAATACCAGAGGAAAGAAAAACAACAAAATATGTTTAAAAACCCCATGATTACAGCTATATTCCAAATTCACGTGATCTTTCAAGTCTTTTTTAAAAATAAACTTAAGTTTTCAATACTCACCGAGTTGGCCAAGAATTTTTACAAAGGAAATGATAATGTGACATTGTCTGATTAACCAAATATATAATTTTCTCAGAAATTGCTAAAGCACGCACCTCTGAAATCCAATCTTTTTATCTTCCTATTATAGGAGCACAAAAAACTCCATATTTGTT